CAGCTCTTTGCTTTTTCCTTCTCAGGCAGCCCTGGCCGGACAGTGGGGTAGGGCAGCAGAGAACACCCCATCCTTTCCTGTCAGCCTCCCAGGCCTTCCAGATGGGTGAGGAGTGCTGCAAGGCATCACCCTCCCTCTAGCCTTTTCCGTTTTCTGTCTCCCCAGTCCTGGGCACCAGCCTTCCCCGTCTCTAGTCATCTCTTTCTTATCTACTGTCAGGCACTTAATTGGCACAGAGGCCAAAGCCTAAAGCCCTTATAGAACACGATGAAGGCCTCCTTTTCTAGAAAAATCCATACAGTATCTATGAACCTCACTTTTAGAATCCAAGAACTAAGGTGTAAACAACTGATGTCATTTCAACTTTGGTGCAAATATTTTACATTTTAACAGGAGTCAAAACTTTACAGGGAAACACTGAGTTCTAAGCTATAACTTTGGGCCCTTACCTCATGGGTGGTTTGAAAGAGAAAGGGTGGAAAAGAGTGAAAAGATATTCTTGGTGAATCTGAGAAGTTATGAATTTGAGAAGACAACATCCTGACCTTCTTCTCCCTTTTCCTTGGACTCCACTTCCCATCAGTTACTGAGTCCTAGTGTGTTTTTTATACTAAACATGTCTCAAATTCATCCCCTCCTCTCCATCTCTCCTATAGCTGCATTGGTGCAAGTCTTTGACACTTCTATAACTGAACCCTGTCCTCCTGGAGGTCCCCTGCCCCCCATAGTATCTGATCCCTTGTGTTATTCTTCTATGTAGCAGCTACTTAGCATATCACATTATTTAATTTTAAAAACATTATTGTTGTGTTTATTTTTCTCTGCTGTATTCCCAGGACATTGAACAAAGGTGTTACAGAACAAAGGTGTTTAATAGAACACAGGCAAATTTCCACATGGTCTTTTTAAAAGAGTCTAAGACTCACCTCCTCCAGAAAGCCTCCCCTGATCAATCTTCACAATCAGGCCCAATGAGGTGCCATTTCTTTTCTCCACCTTATCCCAGTGCCCAGTCCCTGCCCTTGGGGCACTGTGCTGTGACTTCGTCCTCCTTCCTATGAGAAAAGAGGTGTGCCTTATTCATCTGGTTATGCACAGCATGCAGCTGGCACAAATCTAGTCCTGGTGGTGCTGCTTCACTTACTTGACCTGTCATCTCTATATAGCAAGTCTTTCAAGCCAAATTTGTGCTCAGATATCTGGCAGTACTTCCCAGGCCAAGGATGGTGTCTAGACCTTTCTGCCTAACTTCCAAGAAGGTTCGGGCCCAGTCAACTGTGCACGGATCCTACTTCTTGCCTCCTTCTCCGCAGCATTTACTTCTGCTCTCCAAGCTTGGCTTCAGTGCTCCAGAAATGGCTGCTCTGCCACCCCAGTCTCCCTGGAGACCCCACCAGATATGCTCTCTTCTACTTCCATTCTGTCCATAGGGTCCCAGCCCTTTCACGTCCTCTTGTGGGAACCAGAGGGCTCCATACTAGCTGTAATCTCCTGCTAATTCCTAACCCACTGCCAGCTTATGAAGATCATTATATTTGAAGGGCCTGACACAGGACGTGCGCATAGAAGATGGACCTCTCAATTTTTTAAATTAACTATATATATAATATATACACACATATAATTCTGAGGCCTCAAAGCCAAAAGAACTTTAATGAAGAATCAAGCAAAACAAACCAACTCAGCTTCTAGGGATGTCCCAGGATAGAGAAAGATGTCAAGGCTATGGGAAGGCTGCCACGGCTGGTTCACCAGCACCAGGACGGTGTGGCGTCCTCTGGGCAAAGGAAGGTGCAGGCCTGCATAGGGTTCCCGCCCTGGTCACTGCGGAAGGTTTTGGAGCAGTCTAACGGAGCGAGGAGCTTCTCTCAAACGGCGATAAGCAGAAATGGTAACCTTGGGTCTTCCCATCTAAAAGGAGTTGATTAATTCATTAGGATAAGAAAACAGGTTCTTTCTTACTTCCGAAAGGCACCGCTGGGATTCGAACCCAGGATCTCCTGTTTACTAGACAGGCGCTTTAACCAACTAAGCCACGGCGCCAAACACACATAAGTGACCACTGAAGGCATATACACAAGTTCACCACCGGGATCCTGGTCACAATTTACTTCTCTAAATTTAATTTTGATAAATCATTGTTTGACATCAAACATCCATTCAAGAGCTGCCCCCGATACCTTATTGAAAGAAGCAAATTAAAGACCTCAACCTTAGCAAGAAGGACGTGGTTGGAGAGTGTCTGTGGCCCCTACCGGGATCAATCAATCCCCGTAGAGGCCTAGGACAAAAGGCAAGTAAGTAATTGTAGAGTGCGTCCGAGAAGAAAAAAACAGGTGCGTAGTCGGCAGGATTCGAACCTGCGCGGGGAGACCCCAATGGATTTCTAGTCCATCGCCTTAACCACTCGGCCACGACTACACATACACTGCAGAACTTCTCACTCTCAGCCTTTCTTACTCCCCAAGTTCTGCACACACTATCCCTTTTGTAATTTTATGCCTTCCCGGGCTAGGAGACTGCTCAGCAAGAACACCAAAAAACAGATTGTGATTGACTTCACACTGGTGGCCCCGCCCCATCTTCCCGGGATGTTCTTCCATTCTCTCGCCCGTCTGGAACAGCTTTCTCTCAGGTAAGAGCAGACGCGGAAGCCACCCTGAGCTCGGCGGAGCGCCCTTTCAAGCCCTGACCTGAGCGGGCAGTTTTGTTTTGAAAAGGAGTGGGTTCGGTGTCGTTCGTGATTTGGGAAGGTAACTAGTTCCAGGTACAAACTCCCGGATAACAGCAGGTATGCTGCTGCTGCTGCTAAGTCACGTCAGTCGTGTCCGACTCTGTGTGACCCCATAGACGGCAGCCCACCAGGCTCCCCCGTCCCTGGGTTTCTCCAGGCAAGAATACTGGAGTAGGTTGCCATTTCCTTCTCCAATGCATGAAAGTGAAAAATGAAAGTGAAGTCGCTCAGTCGTGTCCGACTCTTAGCGACCCCACGGACTGCAGCCTATCGGGCTCCTCCGTCCAAGGGATTTTCCAGGCAAGAATACTGGAGTGGGGTGCCACTGTCTTCTCCAACAGCAGGTATTGGAAAGAGTAAATGTAGTTCACCGAATCCGCGAACCTCAAACTCCGGAAGAATGTCAGCAATAGGGAAGCCTGGCGTGTTGTAGTTCATAGGGTCGCAGTCGGACATGAGCGAGCAAAAGTAACCCTTCTGGCCCGTACGGGGATCGAACCCGCGACCTTGGCGTTATTAGCACCACGCTCTAACCAACTGAGCTAACCGGCCAGTTGCTAGAATATTGTTCTTTGATTCACCACATGTATCACTGAAGTATGGCAAACACATTTTTAAACACCCGAAACCTTTGCTGTGTAGCAGGCTCCAGAGACCTCCCAAACACGAACTAAAACAGATTCCTAATGCGCATGAGGGACCATGCTCTGCAAAGCGCTTGGAGGCGTAGCTAGGCTCTACCTCTGCATGTAGCAAGCAGCTTCCAGGGAAGAAATGGCTGAACATCAAATGCATGAGCATCTCCAAATAACTACTCCTGCAACCCCCTAATTCTGTAGGTTCTTCCTGCGGGCCTCAAGGTGTTAATCAAGAATCTGCCTCAGACATGGCCCAAATGCAACCCACAATACTGACCGCCTGTTGGAGTTCCCACATCATGGGGTTCCTCACATGCCCCACCCAACACGCGGTGCTTCCCTCTCCATAACCACCTTGTACTCAACAACTCTAGGCCTACTACTTTGTGCCCAGCTTCGCTAACTGAGGCCATCAGGGAAATGCTGTCTAACCTGCACCCTTCTCCCTAATTGACTCCGTGCACAGCCTGACTTCACTGGACCAGAAGAAGTTCTCCAAACCAGTTTTGGCACTGATGGCAAACAAGGCCAAAATGATGGTAAACGACGGGTGGGTTGCCAGGTCATGAGACCTGAGACCCACCTGAGTGAAAGTGAGAAACAGCCCAAGAGCTTTATTGTAGAGCAAGGGGCCTGTCAGGAGCAAACCCATGAGGGCAAGTCCCTGCCACAAATACAGAACCCAGGTGCTCAGGGCCACCTGTGAGTACAGGTGCCTCCACACCTACTAGAGAGAAAACACAACAGCACTATGATTTCCCTGTTTCCACAATTTCCACAAGGCAGGTTGGCATTAGAATATGGAGCAGTAACAGCAGGGTAGCATCTGGGGTAGCATCCAGGCATCTGGGGTCCTGGTTCAGTTTCAGAGAAGGTAAGGGCCATGACCAGGGAAAGGAGTTGAAGCCCAGCCTCAAGATCTCCAGCCACTGCAGTTTCAGTTAGCAGGAGGAAACTAAGGCCCCGGGGCACTGGGGTGCTCAGGCTCCTGGACAGAGAGGCATGACAGTCGGATCTTGGGGTTCACACGAGTCAGGAAAGGGGACTCCCCACACTGGAACTGCTGTAGCCGAGGAGATTCTGAGATGGGAAGAAAGAAAAACACAGATCCTGTGCATGTGGTTTTCAGTCCCCACCCTCCATTCTCCTCCCAGCTCCAGAAATTTCATGTCAATCCCCACTCCCTCTTCCTCTTGGGACCCATCAATCTACAGCCCTGCCCTTTGACCCTCACCTAGTGGGATGATCTTGGAGGGTTTTCTCTCCAGCTCAAAAGAAAACACCATAGGGCGGAGGACAGAGAAACTGGTACAGAGGGTCCAGAGGAAGAGGGTCAAGGGCTCATCCACCTCAGCTGAGGACTAGAAAGGGAAAGAGGTTTCATCAGGATTCAAGTTTCTAACCAAGCTCCCAGGAAAAGGTCTATCTGAGCCCCCACCTCCCAGCCACATCTCACCTCAAGTTGGGCTCCGGGCCCTGTAAATTGCAAGGCCACTTTCCCCGGCCCTCGGACAAACTCGAGGAGGGAGGTCCACTCACTGGGACACAGCCCTAGAACTGCTGCCACTTGATGATTTCTACAGGTCACCACAGCTTCTGCAGTCCCATCCTCCACCAGGAGCCTGGGAGTGGGGGAGCAAGGGCAGTTAGGAATAGAACTCTGACAGCAAAACCCAGGGGGCCAGTCACCCAGACCCAGCAGGACTCTCTCTCCACCTTGTTAGCTCACTATACCCTCACCCATTCATTCTGAAATATTTACTAAGTAATTCCCACCATTGAGGAACTGTGCTAAAATCAGGACAGCAGACCGCCATGGCAACAGCGAGGTAGGTGCCCACGGTGTGCTCTGCTCTCACCTGATGCTGGCCTGGCTTACAGATGTCTGAGCGGGGCAAGTGGGGCTCTGGCGAGGACACCTTCCCTGGGATGAAGAAAGTGGTTGGCAAAATCCCCTTGCCCCCACCACAGCCCTCTTGGCACCCTACACCCAGCTCAGCCTGTCCCCGCTCCTACCTGTGGGCAGATGCTGGTACAGTGAGCACACACCCAGAGCAGATGAAGGCTGAAGACAGAAACGACATGGCAAGAAGCAGTGGCCCGAAATGGGGCCTTGTCACCTTGCAGAAGTTCAGCCAGGTAGATGTGGGGCAGGGGGGCACTAAAGAGAGAAGGGGGGTTCAAGAAACAGCCAACAGAGTTCTAAAAGCAGTCTGTCTGGAAGGACTCAGCAGGTGTGAGGACAGGCACAGTGGTGGCTTCTGTGCTCTCCTGGAAGCCCCAGGGCCTCTCCTTCCTTTTTTCTTTTTTAAATTCTCTAAGTATGAAAACACATTTACAGGAGATATGGCAAATACAGAGCAAAGTTACATATGGGTCCACTATATACTACAATTTCTTTAAGTAGATAAATTTTTTTTTGTTGGAGTTTCAATATCAAAATCTGAAAAATTAATAGAATGGACAGAAAAGTAGAAGGACATAGTAGACATGAAATGCTCTATGAACCAATTCAACATAATTAAGATTTATACAATTTTTACACAATAGCAGGATACAAATGCAAGTTCCCCAGGGCCCCCATTTATTTTGATTCTTGATCTCTGATTGTCATCGATTATTTCTCAGGCTTGAAAAACCAAGATATTAGCCAGGAAACATATTTATATTTGGGATTGAAAACCCTTTAAAATCCCAGAATGCAAAATCTTCCTGAGTAGAATGATATGTATGGACATTTTTCATTTGAAGCAGAGGAAATCCTTCTGACTACACACATTTTACTAGGAGGGGAGAAGCCTGGAGTTATGGGGAAAATTCCAGAGCCTGGAACAAGTGTGAGGTTCAGATATAAGGCTGTGAGGTTTGGAGATGGGCTTTGGGCCACTGACCTGACTGTGGCATCCGGGGGGAAATGCAGGACCTGCACACAGGTCGATGACCGGAAGCAACAGTAAACATTGTGGGACCTGCAGGTGCAGGAGGAAGAGAGAGGAGGAGGAGAAAAAAGTCAGTCTGAGGTAGGAGCTGGAACCGTGTCACAGGCCAAGCCACTCCCCCCGAGGGCATCATCAGTACAGAGGGCAGAGGAAGGGAAGGGCTGGTCTGGAACATATTGCAAAGGGCATACATGGCAGAGAAACACAGCAGACCTAACAGCAAAGAGAAGCTGTCATCGCCACACAGGTAGGTGCAAGGATTCAAGAGAAGCTCATCAGGAAGGAGGAGAGGCCAGGCCATCGACACAGGTCTTCACCTGGAAACTCTTTTCTCCAGCTGGTGAAAGTAGACTCGGGCTCCGGGAAGAAGTCCCAGAGGGGGCGGCAAGTGTGGATCTTCAATATACACATCCAAGTGAGGGGGGAATTTGTAGTCGGCAGTCTCCAGAGCTACAGTGAGCTTCACACACCGTTTCACAGCCCCAGAGGTCCCTACAGTAGGAATGGGGAGGGGTTAGTGGTCCCTCTCAGGACCACCTCTCCACCACTCTATTTCTTACCCTTACCCAAACAGATGTTATTACCAGGCTTCATCCAGAGATGTGACACAATCTCAGCTGAAAAAGACACCAAGGAATCTGCAAAACTGGAGAGTAGGAGAAACAGTGAGAATGGAGTCAGATCCCAAGACAGAAAGGAGTTATAGTAGCTGCTGAATTTTACCTATGAGGTCCTGGAAAGCCTTGAAGTGTCTCAAACCAAATACTAAAAGTAACAGGGCTTATGGGAAAAACAGGGTTGTAGCAGATCACTACACACACACAAACCAAAACCCAATCCAGCTTTGTACCCAGAGGCCTCATCAAAAAACACCCCAGCAAAGGTGAATCTCCACTTGCATTTACACCTAGAATCTCAGTCAGTCCATCATTCTCAGCTTTATACACTGGGGCCCATGCCCCCTCCTTCAAATCATAGGTCCTTGAAAACTTGCACGTCTAGGGAAGTTTTGTAAAACTTACACATATAATCTGACATGGTTTCTGTTTGTTTACACAGGGGGAAGTATCTCTGCAGTGTCTTCAACTGCACTGCAGCTGCCCCCAGAAAAGCTTACGCGAGGAAAGTAAAGCTGTTCCTGAAGCTATGAGCCAGTCAATTCTTGCACTAAAGGAAGGTCCTTCTCTAAAGATTTTCAGCTTTTGTCCTTGCTTTTTTTCTTTTTTAAATTAATTATTTATTTTACTTTACAACATTGTATTGGTTTTGCCATACGTTGACTTGAATCTGCTATGGGTGTACATGTGTTCCCCATCCTGAACCCCCCACCCACCTCCCTCCCCATCCCTTCCCTCTGGGTCATCCTCATCCCAGTGCACCAGCCCCGAGCATCCAGTATCATGCATCGAACCTGGACTGGCGATTCATTGTTTGTTTCTTGTATTTCCTTTGCTAAGCTTTGTTCTCAATTGTGAGAAAGCCTGCTCATGATAATGTCAGTGACATCTGAGCCGGGGGGGGGGGGGGGGGGGGGGGGCAGGTGCGGCAGCAGTGGTAACCAGGTATAAAACACAGCTTCTATCTTATACCGCCATCCCTCCTCTAGGAGCTAAATCACATTCACAAAATACACACTGTAGCAGGGGACAGACAATTCATCCGACACAACCACGGCAGAGCAAGAGAGAGCAGCCAAGCGAGCTAGAGAAGCTGATGGACATTTACTTGCCACTGAGCAGGTCAGTCAGTGAGGATTCAGGCAGTGTCGGGCAGATACCCAGCACCTCTGGGATATCCTGGGAGCTCGCAAGTTCCACAGACCATTCATCCTGGACAGTGAGGCAGGATGCACAGCCAGCCAGCTCCAGAGGACGCTGTGACATGTAGGATGAACCACCCTCCTCGAACAACATCAATGTCTGCCAGGAAATGGAGACATGACCATCTCCGAGTGTGTCCTGGTCTGGAGAGAAGTTCCTCACAAACTATGACCCAATTCTGTTTCCTCTCTGGAGCCTGACAAAGGAAGTGGTCTAGACACAGGCTGGCCTTCAATTTGATCTACATCCACCCTTCTTCCAGGAGACCTAGAACTTCCTTTCCAGACCCCAAGCCAAAATACCCTTCCCCTTTCTGGGGAAGGGTGTGGTGAAGTGGGGCACTCACAGGAGGGCCAGAAGCCACGAGCCGGTACACGTGCCCTGGGTGTAAGAACTCAAACCAGCGGACTGAAGAGCCGAGGAACAGAAGGAGGACCTGACGGGGAGAGCAGGGTCCCTCAGACGAGAGCTGGGGCTCAGGAGGTCAGGTCAGAGGTCCCAGGCCCCAGTTTACCTTCTGATCTGAGTTTTCATCTTCCTTGGGTTCAGGTGGGCACCATCCAGTTCCCTCCTTCCTCTGGGTGCCCCCAAGCCAGCTCCCTAAGACATGGAAACTGAGGGTGGGCTGGGGCACCTCTGAACTGGCACTTGGGGGCACAGAGAAGTTCCTCTTCATCAGTGCCTCCTTGTGGGACAGCAAGAACAGCCGGCTCTGTTCTACATGGGGACCCTCTGGAGGGGAAGGCTCTGTCCGAGGAGGTATGGAGGAGGTGGCTGAGTGAAGGACGGGTCTGGGCACAGACAAGATCAGGGCATCAGCCAGAAGAAACTGCACATAGACTCTGTTGGGACAGACAAGGAAGAGGTCTCTTAGCGATGCAGGCACTGTGCCCCAGTGTTCCACCCCCTGCATGGAGACTTCCCCTTCCACTTCCCTGGTGGTGGGACCCAGAGGACAACCACCACCCTAAGGACTTACCTGGCCTGCTTCTTCTGGATGAAGTCTGTGGTGCTCAGCTCCTTCCAGGAAGGGAAGCTGCTTCTGACATTCCTTTCTATGACCAACTGGAATCTCTCTGCCCGCACCAGGCAACCTGAGAGGAAGACAGTTTTCTATTTTGGCAAGAGGAGAAGACTGTGGGCTGGAAAGAGAAGCAGCCCACCTCACAGGTCTCATGCTCAATCCAGGCAGGAGCTGCGTGCCTCACACAACGTGAAGGCCCAGGCCTGACCCCCACCTTGGAGGAGTGGTACCTCCAAGATAGAAACTGTTCCATCAGCACAGCCAATCCCACCCCTGGCCTCCTAGGTTGAGAGGCCTGATTCTTTCTCATAAAGCCCTAAAACACCTGTTCTGAGGTCTGAGAAGCTTTCCTCTCCAGGGTTTCCCTGGCTACAAGCCTCAATAACTCCAAGTAAGACCATTCCTCTTCCAAACTAGGGATGTGAGAAATGGAAGCTGTCATCCTGGTGTGTCTGTGAGGAGTTACAGAGGGAGAAATGAATGTTGGGAATTGTGATTCTGGCCAGGAACCCCTGGCTCCTTTACACCACCCGCCCATACCAGCCTCCTAAACCACTCCCCAGACTTGTTGATCAACATAAGCCACTTAAGCATCTCTACTGAATCCTGGCAGAAGGTCTCTCCCACACTCCCCAGTTCAGAGACCCTCTTTCCCACTCCCATCATCTTCTTGCCACCACTGAACTCCAAACCTATGAGCCTGGGGTCAGTGAGGGGCTGCAAGGGCTGGGCCAGGAGTAGGCAGGACAGGGAACCGCTCTGGTCCCGAAGTTGCAGACACCCTTTACGAGATGAAGGCACCAGGACCCCAAGTAGTACCTGCAAGGACATGAAGGCCTAGGCATCAAGTTTCACTAAACAAATACACAAAGCATCTACCATGTGCCAGGCATAGTGTAAACTGTTAGAGCTACAAAATGAACCACAAAGACATGATCTCAGAGCTTAAAGAATTTATCCTGAAGTGGGGTAGAAAGATTGGGGGAAATGCACCTGTATTCACACATTTAGCAGCCGGAGGGAAAGTTTACAGATCGAGGTAAGAGCCAGGAGACCATGGAGGACAAGACAACAGGGGGTTTGGGTTTGACTTTATACACTCTGGGAAAAACAAGAGAAGGATTTAAATAAATTAAGAGTTTTGTAAACCATGTTACATTTTACCCCACCCATTTCTAGTCACTGCAGGGGAGTGGATTAGAGGGGTCGAGGAAGAGACACAGTGGTCTACTAAGAAGGCTAGTGCCATCAAAACGACAAGAAAGGACTATGGCAGTGGTAGTGGAAATGGCAAACAGAGAAAGTCTCTGGACCCCTGCTGGAGCCACACTCACCGGGGCAGGGTGGAATGCAGAAGGCAGCAGACACTGCCAGGACCAGGCCAGGCGCTGATTGAGTTGCCAACTGGGCAAGTGAGAAGCCTCTGGGAGGGGAAGAAGGGTCTTAGGATCAAAGGAGGCCCAGGCCCTGCGCTTCGCTTCCTCTTTCAGAACAGCCAAAGTAGGGAAAAAGCAGGGGGTCTGCAGCTGGGTGTACTGTCGAGAGACAAGACATCAGGTTACATGTCCCCTGTGCCCGGGTGTCCCTCAGGGTGTTAGATCTGCCACCCATACCCCAACATCCTCAGACCTTCTGGAGTGGACAGTGGTGGGGCTCTTCAAGGATCTCGCTGTGTGTGTTCCGACCAGGGCAGCCAGGTGGAATGAGAACCTCCAAGATCGGGGCCAGGATCTGTAGTCCCAGGCCAGGGTCCCCAGGTGACGAATACTTCAGGAACTGGTGGTATCTCAGCACGTGAGGACACAGCCTTGGCCACGGAGAGAAGCGGAGTCACTTCCCCCAGAGACTCTTCCAGAATATGGCTTCCCTGAGACAAAGTGGCCCACCCCTCACCACCTCCCCAGCCCCAATCCGCATCCTCCTCACTTGCAGGCCAGATCCTTCAGGGCCTTGGTGGCCCACAGGTAGACGGGGAGTCCTAACTGGTGCTCCCATACCAGCTGCTCATACAGGGAGCCCTGGGGAACTTGGTGGGAAAACTGAGTCTCGGGCACCTGGTGAGAAAAGCCCCGAAGCAGAACGGCGCCACGAAGGCAGGGGGCTAATATGGGTCTTCTCGTCCCCCCGCCCACTGACTGCAGGAGGTGAACATCCTGGAGCTGTGGAGACAGAAGAGATGAAAAAGCAACTCAGTAGTCCCAGACAGAGGAAATGCAGTTTGCCACTGCCTGGGTCATACGAAACACACAATTTCTCCTTTACAGGTTACTTCCCTCCAGCTCTGTCTTGCTTTCATCATGACCCACTCCCCTGTGGTAAATAAGCCTTCATCTCCCAGGAGCCACACTCAGCCTTTCTGTGGGCCAGAGGGCTCACTGGGCTGCCCGAGGTTATCCTGGCCCCACACCTGTGCTTCAGCTCCAGCATCTCCTCCTCCATTGAGAAGGTCCTTCTAGAAAGGAGATGCTCTGGACCCACCTGCTCCTCCCAGGGCCCTAATCTCCACTCCTGATCTGAGCTCTCATCCAAATCATTATTAACAAAAGCGCCTCGCACTCCAACGCATTTATTATTTTTATAATTTTGTTGTAGGGATGTCGACCTGCTCCAAAAAAAAAGACCAACCCATAAAGGTAAGAGAGTCCCTCTCTGTCACCAGCCCTGACCCCCTCACATACCTCCAGACGGACTCCTGGTCGTACCACCCGCCTGAGGCCGTGGAACTGCTGGTAGGCGAGGCAGAGCTCCAGCTTCCTGTCCAGCTCATAGAGGCCCGCAGGCTGATTCAGTGTATCAGTGACCATCCCCTGCAAAGAAGCCAAAGGGCCAGGTGATCCCCAGGCCCTTCCTCTTTGGAGACCCCACAATTCCTGCCCCCCCACCACCACCCAGGCTCAGGAACTTCTCCCTCATGCGCACCGTGTAGGATAAGAGTATGGAGTCCCGGACAAGACAGTCTGGACTTGGACCCTTCTTATTCTGGGGGCAGCTGGGCTGGGGCAGTGATTGGGGGTCGGCCTCCAAGGGGGCTCCGGCCAGCTTGATTTCCAGCTCTCGCACACATTCTGGTTTCAGCGGCAACAGCTGGGAGGAGGGGCTGGTCATCCACACCCGGTAACGGTGACCAGGGAGCTTGGACACTCGCAGTTCTGTTAGCACGTAGGCTCTACCAGGACAGAGGGTTCGGTGCCACACCAGCTGGG